TTCAAAACAAACAAACAAACAAGACTGACTTTTTGAGCCACAGAAAAATATAAAATAAAGATTTTGTTTTTTTAAAAAGAGTCTAATACAGATTTGGTTGAACAAATATTTTAGAAATGATTTATAAAGTAAAACAAAATTCGATTAAAAAGATGTACAATTAAAGTTCTTATATTAACTAAATAACTTGATGGATAAAATATTGGTTGAACAAAGTGTTTGTTGATAAGTGTGTGTGTGTGTGTATACAATAACGTTTTCGAGAGTTAGTAGGGTAAATAAATTGTAGAATAAATATTGTATTAAAATAACAGTTTTTAGAATAAAGACTTCGATGAATAAAAACCCGTTAAAATTAACACTTTATTAAATAAATAGTTTGTAGAATGTAGAGTTTCATAAATCAGAAATTGAAACGTTGGATTGATTTCAGAACAGAAGGAAATAAATAAACAACAACAACAAACAGACTGATTTTTCCAACCAACGTGAAAGAGAACGTCGTACTGAGCCGAAGGATCGGGAAAGGATCGCTGGTATTGGTTGCTGAATGTTTGGAGTTCTCGAACGGTACCCTGGGAACTTTCTGTGTCTGAGTCGCAACCTGGAAGCCGACAGGTGGCATACGGTGTAAGATCATCTTCGTAGCCTGTAGAAACGAAAACGTCTAGAATCTGTTTATTTCTACGTCGTGAGTTTTAGCAGTCACATATTACATACGATTCACAATACATATCACCATCATCTGTGTATCTTACCAATCTAATTCGTATACAATTATTTACGTTTTCCATTAACTTGGCTGTGCCCCAAGTGGCTCAGCTTTGAGTCTACGGGTTTATAAAGCTAAAAAAATTGTTTTTCGTACCCTTGATGGGCTCAACACGTATAGCCCATTGTGTAGTTTTGAGTTTAATTACGAACAAATGTAACCAGACTAAAAAAAAGGTGTTGTTAAATGTTTAGCACCTTTAACTATATTGCATAAAGTTAATGTAGAAAATTTTTAACTGGTTTATCCGGGTTCTACGAATGGTCGAAACCCTGAATTTATTGTTACTAATAAATGCAGTAAATAATGTTTGAAACAGCTTGAAAAGTTGACCAATGAGAAACTCTCATATCGACCTCTGTGAGTTCACTTGTCACGTGAACCTGTAGTTCACATCAGCAACACCAGTATATAAAACATAATTAATTTTATCTCTTTTACTGTTCAGCACAAAGCTGAATAAGGTGCTATCTATGATGGGCCCACCTCAAGGATTGAACTCCGAATTTTAACTTTATAAAACCTCAAGCTTATCGCTGAGCCACCAGGAGGCCTCATCATAACACATAGTGCCAGTTAAATGAGCACCAGAATATTATCATCAGAACTTATAGGGCCCAACAAAAACCAGAATATTCTATAAGTTCTGATGATGCCCAACAAAAACCTCAACAAAAACCAGAATATTCTATAAGTTCTGATGATGCCCCACAAAAACCATAATATCCTATATTTACTGATGATGCCCCAAAAAACCCATAATATCCTATAAGTTCTGATGATGCCTAACAAAAACCAGAATATTCTATAATTACTGATAATGCCCCACAAAAACCAGAATATTCTATAAGTTCTGATGATGCTCCACAAAAATCTATACTCTTGATGTTGTTTTTCTCCTTAGTGCAAAGCTACACAAAGGGTTATTTGCACTCTGTCCACCTCGAGGAATCGAACCCCCGATTTTAACGTTGTAAGCCCGTAAAATAACCACTGACCCAGATGGTATCTTAACATTTAACATTGACAACAAACTGCCAAATGTTGCTTTAATTATTTACTATAATTATCAATTTTCAAAACGTTATATTTGAAGAATGGACAAAAGTTTAAAATAATAAATACCATGGATTGTGAAGTAGTTATTACTGACCATGGTAAAACCTGTCAAAACATGTCTGCTCGAACGAGTGCAAAAGGAATAATGTGTGCTAAGCCTAGTTTATGATTATTGCTAAACAATGTAATTTTTTCCCATTTCATTATTTGAAAATTACAGTAATTAAAAAAAATTATTTCACGTACGTATTGTAAAGTAACAAGGCAGTCACGTGATTTTAACTTTTGAAAGAATTTAAAAAGAACTGTGGAATAAAATAATTAATGTTCCTTGTTTAATATATGCAATAAAAACAGAAGTCTGCTATATTTTTATTAACATAAATTTTCTTATTCTTGTTATGTTTGTGATTTAAAGTCTGGTCCTGAACTATTCGTCAATATTTCAAGCATATTCAAACACATTCTTTCAACTTCAATTATTAATATTCAAAACAAAAACTAATGCCCTCTACCGGCACAATGGTCTTCTGGCGGAGGTAGAGCTTGATTGCGCTCCAGAGATGCGTCGTTACGCAATGGTCTCTGAACTTTTGACGCCCTCTGGTGGTAAGTAGGAACTTCCTGGTACTGAACCTCCTCCGTCAATTTCTTTTGACCTGTGCGGTGCTTCATAACTATACCTTGAGGACTCTGTCTGTTCTGGTCGTACAGTTCATCTGTGGATTAAAAAGAGACAAAACTACGGAGATATTCAGTGGCTTCACGTTTCGAATCTCGGACCCTTCAATCCACAGACCGACACGCTAACCACTAAGACTGGCCCGGCCGGATTTCACGAAAATTCGTATAGATTCATGTTAGTAGATAAATCTGTCTGATAATTAAGGACCCAGCCGATATTAGATTAATTACAATTTATTTACGCAGTAATAACTATCCTGTAATGTCCCTGGCTGTTTAGCGGCGAGTGTTGGAATTTATGTATAATATAGAAATTTAAACTCCTGCTAAACAAGTACACAAAATAAAACACAATCCAGCGTATCAAGCTCTATAAACCAACAACACCCGACTTTAGGTATATTCTTATGTTCTCACCTGGTTGTCGTCTTTTGAAACAAACACAGATTGCCACACCCAAAACGACAGTTAGAGCAACAGTAGCTGCAACAATTGGAATAATTATGTTCAGTTCTTCCCACTGTCTTCCAGGTCGGTGGTATCCTCCAACAGCTAACGGACCTATCGTAGCTAAGACAAATCTATTAAACACCCAATCTGGCACGTCACGATCCCATTAATTAACTAAGCCTAATCTAAAAAAACTGTAGGTCCAAAAGAACTCTGGTGTCGATTCTTGTAATCATGAAATAAGTATGTAAAATTATAAGAAAACTTATATTTACAGTAACACCAGCTTTACAAAAGATTCGCGAATCCTCAGAGGATTAGGGATCAGGCAAAATAAGCATATATAAGTAGTAGTAAACACGTATATATATATTTCTTTAACAGAATTACGTCAGAGAAAATAGTTTTGGGTGCACAAACTGTGTCATAACAAATATTTGGAAGTTTTCAAACTTACGCCACGTTTTCTGGAAACATGTTCGGTTGGTGATAGAAAATTAAAGGAGCAAACCGCGAAGTGAACGAGTTTATTAAACTTTTATAAACCGCGAAGTGGACAAGGTTAGTGAACTTTTATAAACTACGAAGTGGACGAGTGTAGTGAACTTTTATAAATCACGAAGTGGACGAGTTTAGGGAACTTTTATAAACTACGATGTGGACGAGTTTAGTGAACTTTTCTAAACCGCGAAGTGGACAAGGTTAGTGAACTTTTATAAATCACGAAGTGGACGAGTTTAGTGAACTTTTATAAACCGCGAAGTGGACAAGGTTAGTGAACTTTTATAAATCACGAAGTGGACGAGTTTAGTGAACTTTTATAAACCATGAAGTGGACAAGGTTAGTGAACTTTTATAAATCACGAAGTGGACGAGTTTAGGGAACTTTTATAAATTTATAAAATTTTACTAAACTCGTCCACTTCGTGATTTATAAAATTTTACTAAACTCGTCCACTTCGTGATTTATAAAAGTTTACTAAACTCGTCCACTTCGTGATTCACGAAGTGGACGAGTTTAGTAAAATTTTATAAACCGCGAAGTGGACGAG